AACTTGAGAATTTCTTCTCTGCTTTTTACAGTCTTAATCCTCACCTTGGTGAAGCCAAGGGCAGCACAGGTCTTTTAGCATAAATCAGGCTAAGTTAGAAAAGCTACATAAGAGACCATATTTCACTGCATTTAAGCTCTCTGTGCCGTTTCAAAACACCTATGTTTAACCTACGACTGGTCAGAAGTAACAGACTGGATATTAGGCAACCTTTAGCATGTTCAAAACGGGACACAAAATCAGGAAGGACAGCTCTTCCATGACACCTTAACATTTAAATGTTAAAGTTTTCACCTTACATAGAAAGGATCATTGTGAATGGTAGCGTAATATGGCTAATTCAGCCTCCCGGCTCACAAAGTCCTTGAACAACGCTCTCAAATGGGAATCACTGTCGGCAACTAACTTCAGGAACATCTTGGGCTTTCTTACCTACTCTCTTAGCATCCAAGAACTGAAATTACACCCTCCCACCATCCACACTGCATGTAGTTCACTAAGCTAGTCATTATATAGCAGCTACTTACTACTGATAGGGGCTGGCTTTACAATCAATGCTCTTATTGCATTACCAATTCTCTGAACTACTTCCTTTGTTCTATTCAGGATGTCCAGACGCTTTGCACCAAATATTTTGTTTCTTAACTTAAAGCCTTCCAAGCTGATTTTCGGTATAAGCAATCCTAAGGTGGGGTGGGGGGGAAACCAACAACAACAAACTTGCTGAAGTAATACAAGGACTATCTGGAAGCAGGCTAGACTTCATGAGGAATTCTAAACACAAGATTATAACCTTTTCCACTGTCGTCTTCTCCTGAAGCGTTCACAGCCAATAAGTACCTTCAATCCTACAGCAAAACCAATGGTCCTGCTACCATTATGGGAAGTGGAGAGAAAGTGAGTGTGAAACAGATAACCTATTTTCTTAAAAAAAAAAAAAAAAAAGACTAGTAGAATAAATCATCCCTGACAAAATATATGCAAAAAACCCTTTTAAAATAAGGTTTTTTGTTAGTGCTTACCTATTACAGAAGCGTAACTAGTGAGGAACTGTGCTTTTGTTTTTGAAGGAGCGAGAAACATAATAACCTTGTATACCTCCCTCCCGTTGATGCAACAGGCAAAATAAAGGTAAGTGAACAACAACTAATCCACATTCCCTGACTGTAAGACTAGAATGTGACTCCTATCTTACTGAGGACTCCCATAGGTTCAGGATATGTTGATGGGACAACTGAATTGTTTGAACTGAATTTTTACGAAAGAGTCTAGCCTCTATTACCAACTCTTAAATTGGGCATGCGCAAAACATAACCGTTTCTACCACAAAGACAGTACAGTACTACTTTGGAATGTGGACTGGAATAGACCATATGAAAAAAGCCATTTTGTATAAATTCATCTGTCTCACTGTACAATCTCATATATCCAATATGAGAAACATGAACTAATTATTTAGCATTTGCATACAAATTACATATTTTTTCTTTTCGTGGTGTGGTTCCCTGTGTGATCTTGGGCCAGTTTCTGAACCTCTCTAAATCTCTGTTTCCTTATTTGCAAAACAGATTAAAATTAAGTTATGCAGGATGGGGTGAGGCTTAATTAACTCAAGTTTGTAAAGGGCTTTCTGATCTTCAGATACTGTGCAGAAGGACGACTAGAAAAATCAATGTAAGAAGCAAAGAAGTACTTAAGCCCACTTCCATGCAGGAAGCGTTCTGTGTGTCAGCTTCACACAGAAAACTTGTATTAACGTTATTTTGCAGCAGCAGCAAAAAATTACATCTATAGCAAGTATAAAGCATGTATATTAAAAATAACTTATCACTTACTTCTTCCTTATTTCTAGGTCAGAAACTGGAACACATCTTAGGCCAGCTCCCAATACCATCAGGGATGATGTTAATAACACAGTTACTCTCAGACCTAACATGAAAAAACAACAGTATTTTACACATTAAGTCAACAATACTGCAAAAAACGTATATACATTTACATGTAATCTCATAGTTATGCAACTCTCTCAAACCATAAACACTTTGGTACTGATATGAATTACAGGTATGTAACAAAAGCCTGTGTTATTTTCAATACTCCCACACCAGGATTACGAAGGCTTACACTTGGCATACCACTGCACAGGATTGCACCCAAAATCTTAGCAACGCCGTTGAAAATGAAAAGCAATAACAAAACTATCACCAAAAGGTACAATGTTTCCTTCAGATTCATAAATGTCAGGGAATATGCTCCAATGTGCGATCCCAATTCTAGTTCGAGCCAAAGAAAGAACCAGACCTGTACATTTTTTCCCCAACCACTTAATGAGTGCACGTACAGTACCGTTACCATTTTCTTTTGTAACGCAGACACCCATTTCATCCTGAAGAAATAACTATTTACTCAGTGGAAAAAGTGTATGTATTTTTTGTGCACCTTGCAATTAGGCCAAATTTTTGCTGCGCTCAGCTCAAGTTGTCAGAGATTGTAAATATAATACATTAGAAAAAAGAAGCTACAATTGACCTTGAAAATACTTTTTCCTCATACTGTAATTCTGCACCGAGAGGCACTTAGATCCGAAACAACCTTATTTCAGTGTTGTAATTCCATTTGCCTGCAGTTTACTTACTGCTGCTGCTGCTAAGGTGTTTCCATCACCAGGGGATGGACAGAGAACAGTGACAACTGAGGGGCTTAACCTCCCGAGTCTTACAAAACAAGTAAATCAAATCTACACAGTTAGAAAGCTATAGCCTGTACCGCAAAAGTCATAAAACCTGAAAGAAATCCACAACAACAAAGGCTGAAAATAAAGGGCTTCCAAGTTCTTTGCAGAGTACAATAAAACAGTTAAACGATAACAAACACAGAGCAGTATCTCTAACATTTACATGAAACTGTAATAACTACCCAAAACACAGTCAGTGAAAGGAGAACTGGCTACATTAATCCACATAATGAACAAGCGAAAGATCCCGTTTCTCTCTAAACTGCCAAATTTCCGAGAAGTGCTCCCAGGACGTTAATGACTCCCTGTAACTGGAACATTTCTAGCAGTCACATTAAACATGTTCTTTTCATATGGTCTTTATGAGGGCTTTCATAGTGTGCGTTTTACCAAAATGTCATTTTAGAGGAAGAGACATTGATTTGTTATCTGCTGCAACAGCTCCTGCTACACCCCAGTCACGGATAAGGGATTCACCGCGCTGGCCACTGCACGCAGCAAACCAAGGACAGCTCCTTCCTCAGTCAACCAAACTCAGGACAATCGGAACAGAACAAACAAACAACACAGTCACTGCTACGGGTTTTTTGAACTGAAGCGTGACTTCCTTCGGTACGGCTCTAGGCATTCCTGACAGGAACGCAGCTCGCGCTCCTACGACTCCTGGGGACACCTCACCTCCCTAATGCCCCAGAGAAGCATCATCGCTCCAGAAGATCTGTTTGCTTATAGCACTTCCAGGAACTGCTCCAACTTGCTCATTGACTCTGCATTTAACCACATGTTGCTGTTAAACTGGATTTTCAAGCGTCCATGTTCAGACAGCCTAACTCACGTGCTCATAATGTGGCTCAAAATCCTGTTCTTGTTCTTCGTGTTTTCTGTGCAGCTGTGTGAGCCTTTATGGCACGCTGCAACCTGTACTGCCCAAATACCTCACAAAATATTAAATAATACGTTGGGGGAGGGGTAATAATTTGTGTTGGGATTGCATACATGATGTCCTTTTCGCTCTTTTTCCCCCTTGAAATGATTCTTAGCGTTGCTTTCATACAATGAGAATTTGTACATAATTAGAATTGGAATTTTACTGGTGGAAAGTCAAATACTAGTCTTTAAACTGAAAAATCTGAAGTCTTCCATTTGGAAGGGCTGCTGCAATGTTTCCAGGAAGCTGTAATCTATGTCCTCACCTTCTTATTCTTCCTGTAGACCAGGCTCTCTCTGAACTACATTTCACAAAACATGTCATGTTCTGCCTTTTAGGGGAGACAAAAAAAAGGAGAAACAATGTGGAAATTCCTGGCCACGTGACACAACAGGAAGCATTGTCCAGGTGCAAACTCAGGGTACAGAAGTAAATCAGTATTACAGAGGCATTTAAGTTTAAATCACCACAGGAAACTTGAGAAGCACTTCCATATCAAAAACTAGTTGATTTTTTATTTTTACATCAATAAAAAGATTTAACTTAAATCTGCATAGTTTCATTAAAACACACAGTTCAGAAAAGACAAATTAATGTCAAAATTTTCCACCAGCCCTAGTTCTAGGCTTACCTTTAATGTCAACCTTACAAGTCAGGTAAATTTAAAATAATCAGTGAGAGGCTCACAATCCAGAAACTACATTCAATCTCTCCAAACATTCTCTGAAGTCTTCATCTTGAAGACGATACACTGTAAAGTGCCGCATTTAAGTGTTTTGATTGCACAGATGATTCTTTAGCCTTTTGTTTCCCCTTAACGTGCAAACATACCTAAAGATACCTTTGGTTAAATCAGTATGTTGAAAACCATGACACCAAAGTGAATGAGTTTTTACTCATTCTGCTAGATAAGAAGCTGCTAGACTGCTAGAAGACTGCTAGATAAGAAGCAGAGATTAAACATCATTCTTCTTGCTAATTCCATAATTTATTTCTACCCTCTAAGCACCTTACTTTATTTTTCAGCTCTCTGAATCTATCTTCCTTTCTGACCCTCCAGTTTCTGACCCTCCCCTATCAGGGTTAGCCAGCAAGCAGCTGGAAAGGGAAGAAACTTCTTAAAATGGATTTTCTGCCCAAGGAGTTTTCCAGTCTTTGGAGCCTTTCTTGCCAGCGGCTCATTCCCAGCCTGCGCTCGCTGGAGATTTCTGGGACTGCAGTGAACGCTGAACAAACTGTGGCCACGTTCTCAATGGACAGACGGCACCGATGGTAGCAGAAAAGTCTGAGCCAGCAGCAGAAATTCTGAGGCAGTAATAAAAATAGATATTAATTACCATTTATGAAACCGATAATCTATACTGTTTAATTGCTTAACAGTTTAATCCCTCCTGAGGCTACTAACAGAGTCTGCTTTGCAACTTCAGCTGCCTAAACTGCATTTGCTACTTTTTAATTTCCTTTTAAAACAGCCACCCCCAAATTCCCCCTCCTGTCAGGTATTTAACACAACTCTGAACCCATGATCCTCTAATCTCTCCTGCAAAACATGGATTTTGAGTTCAGCCAAGGTCATGCTGTACTAGTAAACCTTAATCTCACCTGTGCCAGCAGCATACGCCAGCTGGATGTGGCCCCTGGGACGTATCTATTTGGCCTGCTGCAGCTTCCTTTCCTC